GAGAGAGAAACATGGATCGGTTGCCTCCTGGATATGACTTGTGGGGATTGAGTCTGCAACGGAGGTACATGCCCTTGGCTGGAACAAAACCTGGGACCCTTCAGTCCGTGGGCCAACACTCTAACCACTGAGCCAAACCGGCTAGACAATTTTTAATAATTTAAGTGAATAAAACCATTGAGAATGAAAGTGTTTTAAGCCTCATCAAATACAGAAAGTGATTATAGAGCAGTGTTAGCTCTCCTTCTTTCCCCTCCTGTCGGTGAAGATGAAGGTTTGTGAAGCATAGAGAATCTGTCAAAATCTGAAGACCTGAACTTTCAAGTGTGCAAGAGCTTTTTAAGTAAGGCGATACTTGCTCTGACAAGTGCAGATGTTCTGGCTGTGTTTACTAAACAACAGTAAACATCTGAATGAAAAGTAAAAAGTCATTTAGATGGTCTGTTTGCTTTCCAAAATTTAGTTATTTGGAAACATCCAAAAATAATCAGAAGTGCCTGGCAGACTCTTAAGGTTTATCCACCCCATGGCTTTGGAATGCAACAGATACATGGAGTTTTATGGGATATTTAAGCCTTTTGAGAAAAGAATCGTGTCTAATTTTTATTGTAAACCAAGGACTCTCCCACAGATCCCTATTCAACAAATGTTGGATGACTGAATGAATAAGAATTAATTAATGCTGCAGGATTCCAAAGGTGCTACTGTCTATCATCAAGAAATAAGGTGCACCCTGGCCAGTTTGGCTCAGTGGTTAGAACGCTGGCCTGCGGACTGAAGGGTCCCAGGTTCAATTCCAGCGAAGGGCATGCATCTCTGTTGCAGGCTTGACCCCCTGCCCCAGTTGGGGCGCGTGCAGGAGGCAACCAATCAGTGTGTCTCTCTCACATCGATGTGTTTCTCTCCCCCGCCCTCTGTCTTTCTCTCTCTCCCTTTCCACTCTCTCTGAAAAGTAATGGAAAAAATATTTTCAGGTGAGGATTTAAAAAACAAAAGACATAAGGTGAGCCCTGGCCAGTGTGGCTTGGTTGGGTGTCATCCCGCGCACCAAAAAGTTGCTGGTTCAATTCCCAGTCAGGGCACATACCTGGGTTGCTCGCTGATTCCGGAGTGGTGGGGGTGTGGGCGTGCAGGAAGCAACCAATCGATGTTTCTTTCTCCCTCTCCCTTCCTCTCTCAAAAAAAAATCAATAAAAACATTTTTTTAAAAGAAAATTAAAAAAAGAAGTAAGATGAGAGAAATGAAAACATGTTCACAAAAATATTTGAAAAAGAATGTTTATAGCACCCTTATTCATAATAGCCCAAACCTGAAATACCCAAATATCCATCAGCTGGAGAATGAGTAAACAAACTGTGATGTAATTCATACAATGGACCATTATTCAGCAATAAAAAGGAAGACACTACACATAGCTGGATCTCAAAAACATCACTGTGCTAAAGAATATAGTTGCAGCCCTGGCTGGTGCAGCTCAGTTGGCTGAGCATCATCCCATGCACTGAAAGGTCACTGGTTCGATTCCCAGTCAGGGCACATACCCAGGTTTTGGGCTGGCACATCCAGGAGGCAACTGATCAATGTTTTGCTCTCTCTCCCTTCCTCTCTCTCTAAAATCAATAAAAATATATTTAAATATATATAGTTGCAAAAGAGTATAGGTACTGTATGATTCCACTTATACAAAATCCAAGAACAGATAAAACTATAGTGATAGAATTCAGGAAGTTGAAGTGGGTGGATGGTAGTCAGTGCAGGGTAATCAACTATAAAGGACCATGAGGGAACTTTCTGGAGTAATGGTTCAGTACCTTATTTGGGGAGTTATTTAGATGTATATTATTGTTGAAATTCACCAAACAGAACATCTAAGATCTGTATATTTAATTGTATGTTAAGGATAAATCAATAAAAAAATTTTAAAGCAAAGGTGAAAGAGCAGATGTGGGTAACCATCATGACATACTTTAGGCTCCAATAATAACTGTCCTCAGGCATTCGAAAAAGTCAAGCTACCTCTTATGCTCAGGAATCCACAATGACGTATCACCTGTGCTGTCAAATCCATGTCTGGGTTCTGATCTCTATACAAAACCTCCTCCATGAACTTCTCCCACTTCCCACCCTACCATTTCCCGCATAGGTAATTTGCTCTTTCCTATCTGAGCCTCCTTATGTCCTTACCCTGAATGGATCTTACTCAATTTTTTCTCTGCCCTTCAAATCCCATTTTAAATTAAGGAGCCTCCTTCACAGAGGAACTCTTGATTAATCCTAGCCAGTCTGAGCACCCTATGTTACTTCAGCTTTTATGTTCCTTTATTTGACTAATAATATGATGCTTTAATACATCCCGCAACAGAAGCAATTTTAATAAAATGGACAGTGTGGCTAGGGATCCCTTTTTATTTCCTTGCAGAACCCAGTTCAGAACCTGCATTTCCGGGCCAGTCAGTTCAAGGCAGATTATGAAGACTACATGGTCTCCAGCCGAGGGCAAATATAAGTTTATACGAGGACCAGTAACAATGGGATTGAAGGGAGCTCTGAGGCCCTCAAGGGCCTATATGGGCAGCTTGCTTTTCCTCTTTTAAGCACACAGTTAGTTCAACAGGGAAGGAACTCATCCCCACTGAGCTAGCAAGTGACTGAGAACAAGGGTTAGGCTTTTTCCGCTCAGCCTTCCCTCCTCCTAAACCAGGGAGGAAAGGGGCCAGCACAGCTCTGAGAGGAGTGGAGTCTGTTCCCAGGGCCCAATTTTCTGTATTACTGGGAGGACCCCATCCCGAAGGAATAAAACAGAGGCGGGAGTATTAAGGGCCAAGGAAACACTCAAGCCTCTTCCCTTAGATTTACTCCTAACACGTATTCAGGAAGGCAAATTACAAACACCGACGCTCACAACCACATATACACGTGCACGCCCAGCCCCACATAGGCAGAGGCGCATGCCTGTGGGTCCGCGCGCACCCACTTAGTTTTCTATGCTATAGGTGCCCCCCATTTCACCCCACCTCGGCCCAGCCCGGCGTCCCGTACCCTGGCACTGAGGTTTTACCAGGCCGACCCAACCCAGCCTGGGGAGAGCGTTTCTCTATTGGGGGAGGGGCAGCCCTTCCTTCTCGGGCGGAAGCAGCGCGCGCCGGCGGGGCAGACTTAGCTCTCGTCCTGGGAACATCTGGAGGAGCTGGGCGGGGCATGTATCCAGAGTGAATGCAGATTGGCTGTGCGGGAGGCGGGAGGCGGGATCTGGGAGAGGGGCGGAGCTCCCTGGCCCCTTTAAAGCCTTGACATCAAGAGGCGGCCCCAGCACCCCCTTTCTCTGCCCCTCGCCCCCTATCCGTGGCCATGGACCCGGCGTACCCGGCCTGCCCTGGCCCAGCTCAGCACCTGATTTCGGTGAGTTCTAGCCTACTTGGGGTTTAAAAAGCTGCAAGTGGTGGGTGGGGTCTGTAAGCCCCGGGCCGGGGGTGAGGGGTGTGAAGGGTACGGCTCTCGTGGCAGCCTTGGTTCCGAGGGGGAGGCGCGGCTTCCTGGCGGGACCTCGCTGTCTGCCCCTCCCTCTTGCTGCACTGTCCCGCGGGGGTCGGGCTAGGACTCTGTCCACCCCCACCCCAACCCCTCCCGCCCC